CATACACCCGCTAACGTTTAACCACGTTTCATGTACATATGTGTACATATATGCGTATTCATATATGTGTACAGAGTGATTAAAAAATAAAAATTACGGCGCAACAATCAATTATTTTATTTCTGAAAGATTTCTGTAATTTGCGAAAATATTTTTATTATCAATAACAATACACGAAACACCTACCTATTTGAAAATAATTTAAAAATATTACTGCGACCTCTTTTGCTTTCAAATTGTTATTTTTCTTAATGTTTTAACACACGTACCAGTTTAATATCAGGCTCAGTTGTTCGATAATCACCTACTAAAACTTTATGCCGCAACATTTTTCTATTTCCAGTTTTACGATCTAAACTTTAAACAACTATACTATAAACAACTAAACCGTAAATAAGAAACTTATTTTGGTTAAAATTTCTAAAAAAGATAATCCCTGAATACATAAACTCAAGTGTCTGATATTAATAAACACATTATAATAAAACAAACATTTTCCTGATCCACTTTAAAATAATATCGCCCTAAAAATAAGTTTTATAATAAACTCAGCAAAATGTGCAGTGATTTTAGTACCTGGTGGATTATGCCTATTGATAAAGGCACATTTAATAATATCAGAAAACACCCGATACCCTTCTTTCAGATTTTGAGCTAAACTAAATATTTTAGAACGATTTTTTGATACTGAAGGGTTATACTATTTCTAATTTATATGTGCAAACAAGTACATAGTCATACGTAATCTACTTAAATAAAAAAATTATATGAATTCAAAATTTATTTTGAAATACAATTCAATACTTCAATGAGATTAAAATTATTTACTTAAAGAAATACTTTTTGTAATTAAAAATAACACATTTTAAATATTGTACATCAGCTGCAGCTGTTCACTTCACGGTAATCAAGTCAATCGTCGTTTTAAGGCGATGTCAATTAAACTTTTTATGTTTTTCGATTACATTGTAAAAACAAACGTAAATTATAATTTCATCTATTGGCAAAAATTAAATTAAGAAAAATGCGACGAGCGACACATTTGATTGCTGCAAAACCACTTAGAGTATCTAACTATTAAAGAGACATTTTTAATAAGTTAGTATAGTGAAAATAATTATTTTTTTTTTTAGTATAAAAATGTATAAATATGTACATAGAAAATATTTCGTAATTTACATCAATAATTTATAAGTATATAATTAAACATTAAATAGGCTAATTGTACTAATTGTAAGTTCGCTTTTGGAAATAATAAGTCAAAAACGATTTGCATACATAGTAATGTACAATAATATTGAATGATGCGAAATAAAATAAATGTGCGCAAACAAATTTAATGAAGTAATTGTGTAGTCGAAATTGACAATCATCGAGGTAATAGGTTTTAGACCGCGAATAAAGATTATTAAATATTTCAATATGTGTCATGTAGTATATACGCAGCTCGGTACGCAGTTACTGCATCGTAAAAGAATAAAGGATAAATAAAGTGAAACGTACGTATATTTTAAATCACTCTATACGTATGGAGTTCAATTATATACCAGCCATGCCATTTTCGACTTCATACAGTCGTACCCACTTGTATATTGTTATAATGATAATGGTATTTACATTTACAAGGCACGAGATTATACACATTAAGTTGGTGTGAAAATTACCGGATAAAAATATAAATGATAAATAATAATTAATTCCCATCGGCTATAAAATCTTAATCTACCGCGAAAAAAATCAATGGCAAATAAATCGAATATTTTGAATGCACCCACACACAACGTAAGAAAATTGCTGATGCTTCGAGCACGTCTTTAGTACAAATTTTCCAACAAACACGTACCGCATATAGTCGTACTCGTAAAGTGCATTCGTGATACCTTTTCGACAATAATATTGATAGCAACAAGTAAGGGGAAAAGTCTCTAAACTATCTATCCGTGCACTATAGATTCCCGGTTTCGACGGGTGATTTATAAACACAGCACATAGCGTTACATTTTCTAGTTCAAATTCTTCGCCTTGAAAAAATACCAGTAGGTATAAATTATATTTTTTACTAAATCGACAATTATAAGTAAAATTCTAAGACAAAGAATGTTGCAACCATAACGGACACGTTTATCGGTTTAACAATATCTAAGAAAACCACTTAAATTATTAATTACTAAAAAAAATATAAAAATTTGGACGAAAACAGTTTTAACCCGTATAATGATATAGTGTTTACTAAATTAATCAAGTATAAACTTGTTCGCGATAAATCCATATTTGTGATTTTCATTATTTTTGTAACATCAAACTTACATTAATTATATAATCATCATTATTATTATTCGAAATGTACACTTCATCATTTGTTTTACATTACAAACATCTTCAAAATGTATGCTTTTATATTTACCTTAATCGAAAGGAACAATGAATCAAAACTTGCTGAACATACATATTTGATCTACGTTAAAATATTTAACCTTGATTACTAATTATACGTACGCTTAGCGGGTGTAATAACAATAATCATTGTATAATCTAAAATAACATCATCGCACAACGCTCTAAAGTTTAGAGTCTAAACCAAAGTCAAGAAGATTACACTCGTAAACTAAATGTAACCCAAATGTTTTTTATGTCGTTATTTTATTAACATGGATTATTGGTACACCTAACCTAACTGCTTATTGTTTATACGTTACACAAGTATTCGTCATCCTAATTAGTTCATAAAATATTATTTCTATTTGGACGTAATTTTTCACACCATCTGATTATTATCTTTACGTTATCATTACTTCCCTATGCCTGTCGATATTCGATTAGAATACATTTATCAAGCATTTTGGCCTCGAATATAATTACATATATCTTATATTATATTCGCAAAATGTTAATGGTAAATACATTTTTAAACGATCATAGAAGTATAAATTATCGTGCATAAATATTATATACATAAAATACGTAAATTATTTAAAAAGTTTTGATGAAATAATAATTATACATAGTGGAAATAAATAAATATAATATATTGTAATTAACTAATTATACTTCTATGGCATTGAATAACGAAAAAGTAAATTATATTTTATACCATACGATATCATACATCAAAAACCTTATGTTTGAAGTAACTGTAATATGGCCTTCGGCGTTCGTTATTATTCGTGGATATATGGTATGGTTATACTCAAATACAAAATTATTGATAAGTAATTATACTGGGCATGAGCAGCAATGCACCATAATTTAAAATGATTTTATGAATGTAACAACAATAGATTTGTTGTAATATTCATATATTTATAAAGAGTAGATCAAATGTTTTGTCTTATAAGAAAAGTGTTAAACTTCGTTCTAAAAAGTCATCATCAGCCATAACATTTTCATTAGTTACTATAGTACAAATTAATGTAACACTCAAAAAACTTTATTGTAAACATTATTTTACAAATAGAGGTAAAAAAAATACGCAAGAAATACCAGGAAAACAGTATAAAGTAGTAAGTATCGTAAACTTTTAGAGTAGTAGTTAATTTACTAAATTCAGAATAAAATGACAAAATAAAAAAATCTACACTCATATAAAAAAACAACGGAATAAGATTAAATTTTAAAATATAGGCAGTTAAAAATATGGAGGTTTAATTTTATTTGTTTTATGCGTAAAAATAAGTACAAATATATTATGGTCTTGATATTATTATAATGTTATTTATTCGAATATATTAACATTCATTCACTTATACTCTCGGACAAAAAAACCTCTCTTTTACTTATATATTAAGTATACAATATAATAAAAGTAAATAATATTTATTATTATGAATTATATATAATACGATGTTTATTACATTAATATATAAATTAATGAGTCAATACATTTAAGATTTTTCGTGAGTATTTTTAATGGTTATTTAATAATTAATATAAGCACAAAATTAAAAAAAATTAGGAGTTTAAAACAATTGAATAAATACCTAGATACCGTTTTAAAGTTTTCTGGTTATCAAAAAATTATTACGATTAAAATAAGTTAATAATATATTGATATTATATAAATATATATGATATTTACTGGAATGTTCAAGTTTTAAATGTATAAAGAAAAGCTACGATTTTTTCATACATCTATTTAAGAACTTCATAGTTAAAAAATAAAAAACTACAAATTCTAATAGAACGTCATCATGTCATTTGAACTCAATTATAATTCATAAAAATAACTTTAAGTGATTTAATTCTTGATAAATAGGTATCTACATAATATAATGGTATATTTCATTAGACGGTTAAGAATTTATAATATACGTACGAGTATACACATAAATCTGATTATTCCTCAAATTAATTTAATAAAAAAAATATTAATTATTAAACCCAGATTATTTTTTTATTTATAACGTTGTTTTTTAACATATCTCTATCAATAATAAATTTAAAAAATGATTTACATTTTTTATTCAGCTGCCCTATCTGTTTGATTTATATACTACTGAAAATGTTACCACAAAGTTAAAAGACTTTTTTTGTACTAATTGTTTTATCTTTAAATTACATTTCATTCGCATTATTTTTTTATTTTTTGGGGGATGAGGGGGAATAATTTCAACGTTTTAAAAAGTATTAGCAAGTAAATATATTTTGAGAAACAATCACTGAGTGAATATTGTTATAAATCTTTCAAAAATACGTATACGGGCTTGTAACTGTGCACGGCAACATCGCCCTAAATTTGCCATTAACCTTCAAAAATTTAAACTTTAAGAGGTGTTTCCCTTTAGATTTCTCTTTGAGTTTTCCATATTTTTTATTTTTTATAAATTTAAGGATGATTTTTCTATTGCTAATTAATTAACTCTTAAACATTTCGTTGCACGAATACCAATCCACCCGTGTACGGATAGATGTGCAGTGCATACGTGCGTCCCCGACTTGTACGGACTGTAAAAAGCGAAAAAAAACATTTTCGTCCGCAAAAGTATTATTATCTCTCAACCAACCTCGAGGATGACCAAGTAGACTTCGACGGTGTCCACCGCTCGTGAGTTCGAAAAAACGGATCCGCGCGCTGTACACCTACATCGGGTGTTCCGTAATATTCTTCCGTCCGTGCGGTGTGCGACGATGATTATGACGGTGATGATGAATATAATGATAAGATAATTATCGATCACGTATGTTTGAAGGCGCGCTCGCACGCGGCGAGACCACGAAAAAAAACGCACGGACGAGCAACGGAAAATTTAATTTTACGAAAATCACACGCACGCGCGCACACCGTTTTTTAATTTTTTTGTAAAAAAAAAAAAGGTAAAAAAAAAGAAAAAAAAAGAGATCGATCTCGGACGTACAAAACTTATATATTCCGACACACGACGCAGTACGCCACGAAATAATGATTGATAAACTCTGAAAAACGACGATGACGGATAATAACAATAATAATAATAATAATAACGGCGAAGGCGAACGCGTCCGGCGTGCAGTGCGAGAGAGCATCCGAAGGACTGCTCACATGGAGTGGCTCGCGAACGGCTGCTGGAACGGCCGCGCGGCGGGAACGACGCGGAGAACAGGTGAACTGGAGTGCCGCCGCCGCCACACGGCGCTGCCAACATTGTGCGTGTGTGCGAGTGTACGGGCGCGCGCGCGTCCGTGTGTGCGTATTATTATTACATACGCCGTGTACGGTCGTTATAATGTTCTCGGAATACATTACATAAGTCATTAGTATTCCATTGGTCGTCGTGTCCGACGGTCCGTGCGGACGTATCACAATCGCACCAGACGTTCGTAAATATTTTCACGATTGTCCGGATAAATATTTTTATTCGTCCGTCTTCTCTCCGCGTCCGACGTTCCTCTTCCATTTCCTCTCTCGCCGTCGCGTCGCCCATGTCCTGCTCCTTTACATTTGTATCTTCAATTTCGAAATGAAACCTAAAGGTGCGGCCCCACTGGAAGCGATTTTGAGTTTCTGCGTTTCAAGCGTTTCTGCGATTTTACGCGCGCGATGTCCACTACCGATTTTGATGGGGGCACTTTAGCGATTTTACACGCGTTTCTACAATTTTACGTCACGCGCGTTCGTTTTATTTTTCATTAGTTTATTCGATCCTCAACCAAGATGACGTCCAGAAAAACGTTGCTGGCTGAATGTGCTGCTTTAATCGACATTAAAGTAAATTATCATCCATGTCGAGATCTTTTCCAACGTTGGACCAACATTTTTAGATCTTAGTCCTATTACTGTGGTCTGGGTGTCTAGGATTCCAAATAGCTTCCTGTACGAAGACAGCGGCAGCTATTTGTTCGGACACAACCGACGCGGAAGACATTTTGACAGCGATTAATCGCCGAATATCAAACTATTTTGTTCTTTTAGCGATTACCGCGAGTGTAAAGCTGCACGCGACACGCGACACGCGCTCAGTGGGCCCACTATATATGAGTTACATACTTTTGTTAAAATCGCTAAAACGCAAAATCGCTACACGCTATCGCTAAAACGCAAATCGCTTCCAGTGGGGCCGCACCTTAAAACCGTAAGTACGCGTACCCGTGGCCACGACGTTGCGCACCGGTCGTCGTCCTCTCCGATCCGTTTCGCGACTTTTGCTCGATCGGTCGCGCGGGTACCTGCGCGTCTTCGAAATCTCGAATTCAACATTTGAACATAAAAATGCGGAACTAACCAACGAAAAATCCGTAGCATCTCTACGATATAGCCCCAACAACGTATCCGAAGCCGCATTTGATCGTCGTGAGAACATTAGTAATATTTATGAACGATTTAAACCGTTGGACGGAACGGGAACAACGAGCCTGTCCGTCCACCCTCGAGAAAAAATCCAAAATATCTCGGTGTACGTACCCGAACGGCGGTGACGATGTCGTGGAGGGATAGGACGATATATACCACCACTGCAGTTACCGCCGACGCAAAACCACGGGGGATTAAACGAGTCGCCCGGCATCGGGTGAGCCCCTATTTTATGATATCGTCTTTTAGCATTCGGAACTCGCTGACTGCGCTGGGCGTAGTATAGTTTAATGTTATTGGCAATTTCGAGTCGACGAGGCTGAAGAGAGGTGGGGGGTTACTCAATCGTGTGTACAGTCATGAATACGATCTGAGTGCGCGTATGCGCGTGAAAAACAATAATATATGGAACTTGAAGAGGTATCCGATTCGTCCACGATATAATATCCAAAGCGATCTACGTGTGCTTTTATTTTTTCCCGATGATTTGCAAAACAGGGTAGTGCGCTGATTCATTCTGTATGTATCGATAACGTTTTAATGGTTCCCAACTGTATACATACATACATATATGTGTACATGAAATTGTAATAAATAACACTCAAAGTCGATAAAACCATGTACAAATTTTGGGTAAACGTGTCAAAAATCTACGTGATTTGTATATTATTGTTTTACTGCCCATACAAATGCATTCATCAAATAATTAAATAAAAACGATTTGAAACACAATGCGCACTACATAACCGTGGACCTCCTAAAATCAACACGTAGACCCCTGAAGATCCGTGGTCCACCAATTGGAAACCACTGGTTTAAAATATAACAAGCATAAACGTCATGAAACATATGCAGATTGATTTTTGGTCATAAAAATATAGTCAATTATCGTAATACACAACACAGTTATTCTGTTTTTTTAGCTCACTAAATAAAAATATCATAATATTTGAAAGTATTGAAAATTGAAGTTAAAACTAAACTAAAAACTTTACTATATATACAACTAGACGTGATTATATGTATGACAGGGATGTACGAGACAAAGAGTAAGTCGACCAAATCGGAGAAATAGCGACAAAAGCCGAAAACAAAATGAAAAAGTACACGTCGTTTTTAATTTTCGCTAAAAGGTTATTGCTAGACTGTTGCGCAGTCAAAACCAACTAGAACGGTACGTGCAGATTTTCTACTTCTATTTATTATTTTTCCCATTTCACGACGTTCGCGAGAACGACGAACGAAACAATATCGCGCGATTTCCGTTTGACGTTCGATTTTCGCGGTGAGCTAGAATAATGTAAGAAAGATTACCAAACAAAGCCGTGCGTATGGTGATGAGTTGAACGTGATCGCGCGTTTTCCCCGGTTGTCCCGGCACCGAAACGCGACGGTTAAACACGGCAAACGTACCGGAAAAACGTGCCAAAAGCGACCGGAAAATCTCAGAAAATTCGATCAACCTATTTGACAACCGAGATTTACCGCACGGCTGTTGCTCGGCCGCCAAATCGGTGTTATCACGCGAGTGATTCGACCGCCCTTGAACGCATCCACCGACGGAGCGTAACGCGAGTGGCACCCCGAGACATCGAGATCGTTGGAATCACTGGCGGCATGTCGTGCGGTCCGTGCCGGGACGTCGAGTGCGAGGAGATCGCGGAGGACGGGGACGAGTACGGGTCGCTGATGAAACTGTACGAGCGGATGTTCGAGTCGCGCGACGGCTGCGGCAAAGGCGGCGGTGGCAGCGAACCGCCGGCGGACAAGAGCTGCGGTGGCCGGTGCCCGGGTGCGCAGGACGAGCCGCCGTGCCGTAGCGGACGCCAGGACGCGGTGCCGGCGGACGGGCCATCTAACAGGGCCGCCCGGGCAACCGTCGCGGACGGGCCGTCCGGCAAAGCCGGCCGAGTGACTGCCCCGGCGGACCGCTGCAACGACGGGGCGGACGAGTCGCGGATGAAACGCGTGGACAGGCAGCTGACGGCCGCGCTGCTGAGGCACCGGGGCGCGGACGGCGGACAGGAGGGTGACGTCAAGCACCTGACGGCCAAACTGCCCGCGTTCAAGTCGTGCAAGAACCGCAAACCGGGCGCCGTGAACGCATCGCTGTTCGGGCTCGACCTGGAGCACTGGATGACCACGGCCACGACGGCCGGCGACGGCCACGACGGCGTCAAGCACGCCGCCTACCATCTGGCCGCGGCCGAGGCGCACTGTAAGCACGGCGGTGCGGTCGAGGCGGCTGAGATGGCCGTCAACGTCGAGCCGTCCGCCAACCTGGCCGAGGTGGCCGCCCGTTTCGGCGCCCAATCGTACACGGGCGTGGGCAGCGCGGCCGACGGCGCGGGCCGCGAGGCCAGCGACGATTCCCCCGTCGTGGTGGTCGCTTACGTCGGCAGCACCGGGCACGACTGACCCGTGCCCCTCGAGTACGTGTTGCGAACGTGACGATGTTATGCGCGTGTCGCTTGTGTTTAACCGTTAATAAACAGTGCAACGATCGTTGAAAATAAACCGTTAAGAACTTTATTAATCTAAACCCTGCGATAAGGGATAACTCCCTTCGTTGGTTTTCCTTATCCTGACTACTAATTTTCGTTCAGATTTCCCGACCAGGTACGGGCGGGTGGACACTTGAGCAGTCACATGCACGACATACGAACGTGTCCGTGATGAAACTATTTCAATTGATTAATTTTCTTTCTACGTGTGTATATAGCCATATACTCCCCAAAGTCTAACCCGTTGATTTGAATTTTCACCATGGATAAGGGTTGCAAGGCATCTGGAATAGAAGGTTTGTATCAGTCGTATTCGGTATACTGCGTGAAACTCCGCGATGCCGTCACGATTATCGCGAACTCGGACAGGTGGGCTCCGAATCCTGTGATAATCCTGGCCATTTTTCCGGAGACTGTCTAATCCATGGAGATCCCCAGTTCTTCGACTTCAGAATATTGTCGAGGAGTATAAAAATATGTCAAAACCACGAACAATGCAGTTTTTCTTATAATAACATTTTAAATCTCGCAGATCATTCGACACAGTTTTATTATTTCAGAATGTTTTGAAAGTATTTTTCCTTATGGAAAATAATTTCTGTACAACTCGGACATTAATAAAATCAAAATCGGTTATAAATGCAAAAAAAACTTCTAAATTTAATGCTAGTTACATTTACTAAACTAACTTTAATTTGAAAAATCTCCCTTATAATTAATTTTTATTCACATAAATGCCGTAAAATATACGTTTGATAAAATAATTAATACCGTATCAAATGTATTTACGATATGATGTTTAGAAGAAAAAAAAATGATATCTTTATTTCGTGAGATAAACATGTCTACAAATTAATCGTGGTTTTTATAATTAATTAATTAATTATTACACGCTCATCGAGAAGTCAGTATAATGACTTCTCAATGAGCGTATAATAATACCAGTCCAATTAATTGTTAAAACGCGAAATTCACGTCACGGCACGAACAATGTGATTCGTGTTGTCGCTCGTCAATGCGATGGACGCGGTAGTGTCAAATGTAAACGCTAATGATGAACGCAAAATTACGTATTTAGTCCAATGCACAACCACTTTGCATACGTCTTCAATCGCAGACACACGTATGGTTAATTTTATTGCAGCACCACGTCTACTTCATAAACTGATATCAAATCTTCATAGGATATAGATTCTAATTCATTAATCATCGAGAAAGGAAATAAAGAGGGTTATTCTAACATTTTCTTCAGCATATTTAGTGTTCTTC